AAGTAGGGAGGACAGCTCCTTCTTCCTTAGGGAACTATGGAAGTCTCAAGGCTGGAGTAAGGAAACGTATTTGAACTGAAGGCACACTGGTGACCCAAGCCATCACCAGATGATAAAACTCTTTTTAGGAATATGATTAATGGCCAGACCAAGAGGAGACCAGCACCCAATTGCTTTGAGATTTCTAATTTTAATCATTTTCAGATTTTATACCTGCCTTCCTTACTATTTACTAGGAAAGAATTAAGAATGAGTTTGATTTTTACCAGTTTTATGTTATTGTTATAGGCTGACCCAGAACATATACACTGATAGTTCTAATCCAGCAAGTCATAGCACTTTATTTCAACTTATGAATACATTTCTCTCTATAGTAGAATTTGATAAGACACGCAGGTCATAGTGAGCTCTGGGCATCATATTATGATTTTCTTAAGACCATTCATTCATTCAGCTGATAGATACTTATCACTGTGTGCCAGGCATGTGCCAAACTATGCCAGATTCATCTTTACATTCCCCAGGGCACAGAGTATTGCACATGGGTGCCCACCCACTAATGCTTGTTGATTAATAGATGAATGCCTGTTACCTTAGTGTAAATTCCACATTTCTCACTGTAAAGGACTGAAATCTTGTCCACCAGCTTGAACTTACAGCCTTTGCCATAGCCACACGGTAAGGTCCATGTTTTTTAGGATCCTGTTGCTCAGGCAACAAGATTTCTGCATGCCTGCTTGCCTCATCCTGTTGCCAAGGCAACAGAGAGTCGTTGGCAGACCGGTTTAAGACAGTGGATGTTTGTGGTATCAGAGGTGCCTGTGGTTCATAAGTTTTTTATAAATCAGTGCCTGCATAACTGCATTCCAGAGTGGGCTCCTGACCCTAAGTCTTTATGTAAAGTAACAATGTTTGTGACCATTCAGCATCATGGATGTAACCAGAAAGACCTTGTATATTTTCAGGACCTGTGGATCTTGCCTCCTTATTTTTACTTCTGGCTATTCCCTCCATCCCTTTTCATAATCCATATCTAGTTTTACTTTGACTAAATGCATACTGTGTGATCACCACTTGCCAGAGTCATCTGGCCTATCTGCCAATGGCACACTCCAGCAGTCTTACCAAAAAAAAAAAAAAAAAAAAAAAAGCAAATACAGTGAAGTGCATTGTAGTAAGAACTCTCTATTCCTTTCCTATGACAGCTCTAACCTTCCCTGGCTTATTGGTCATTTGTTTCTAGCTGTTACTGGAGTATGAGTGGGAAGCCACAGGAGCATTATACAACCTTCTTGTTATGGCACCAACTCCATCTACATTATAAATAGACAAAAGCCCTTATTGGATGTGAGGACTCAGCCCTGCATGCTGTTGCTTACTCACACAGGACATGTTTATGAATGTCACTGCCAGAAAGAAACTTTCAGTTGTAAAATGCTGCTTAGCTCTTATGTGGAGTCGTGGTACCCTCAGAAGGCATTTCTTTCTTTTTTTTTTTTTTTGCAGTTTTTGGCTGGGGCTGGGTTTGAACTCGCCACTTCTGGCATATGGGGCCAGTGTCCTACTCCTTTGAGCCCCAGGCACCGCCCCAGGCATTTCTTAATATTGTAAGCCAAGTCTCTCATTTCATAAGGTTAATTTTTATTTTTTTGTTAACATCAATAGTATTGGCTACTTTTCACAATTTCATTACATTTGAAAATATTTCCTGCATTCAGAGATATAGTTAAAGGAATTCTATGGTTGATAAAATTCTAGAGTTCCATTCAACTCCTGTCTGGCCAGGATTGATAATTATCTAAATAATTCACACTGCACTTGAATAATTCAGTGAAAGGTCTATTCTTTTTTTTTTTTTGCAATTTTTGACCAGGCCCAGGTTTGAACCTACCACCTCTGCTATATTGGGCCAGCGCCCTACTCCTTGAGCCACAGGCACTGCCCTCTGAACGGTCTATTTTAAAGACCTTTAAAGCTAACACCTGCTTTCTTAACCTTACCTGTTTGTGATTTTGGGTGGAAGTTGTAGGCTAATAGTCATTTTCAGCACTTCAGTTTCTGTTTTGATACATCAATTCCAAACAAGGTCACATCAGATTTGAAGAGAGCGGGAAGTGATGACCTTTTAGAATCCTTTTAACCTTCCGTTTCTCTGAAATTCTTCCATCAGCCTGAAGGGCTATTGGTCAGTGCCCATTTCAAAACTTTCAGAGAACACAAACTGCGATATGTTAATCCTCTACAACAGAAAATATTTCTGGAACATTTTCTTTGTGCTAATCTACTTCTGTGTATTTTCCAGCTTGAGCTATCATGGGAACACCATTCTCTGCAGCCACAATGCTCTATTGGACATAAACATTCAATGTGGTTCAATCTAGAACAGGCTTCCCTCAGGCTCTGCAGGATTTCAATCGTTTTTCCATTTGTGGACCCAATAGTTGCATAGTTTCAAGCTCTCACTTCTGGTCACAATGAGTCTGTTGTTTTGAAATTTCAAATGACTATATTTTCTTGTGTTTAGTGATATAATTTCTAGAAAAATTAAAATTTTTGTGCTATATCTATGCAATGTGGTAAATTCTAAGACCCGGGAAATGATTTCTTTTCACCATCCCATCTCCAGTGATTATTGCAGTGGCTGCACATTGCGGGCACTTAATAAACATTTTTTTTGAATGAATGAAAGAATGAATGTGTGATGGCTCTTTTTTTTTTTTTTTTTTTTTTGAGACAGAGCCTCAAGCTGTCCCCCTGGGTAGAGTGCCGTGGCTTTACAGCTCACAGCAACCTCTAACTCCTGGGCTCAAGCGAGTCTCCTGCCTCAGCCTCCCAAGTAGCTGGGACCACAGGCGCTGGGGCCACAATGCCCGGCATTTTTTGGTTGCATGTGGCTGGCGCCTTAGCCACTTGAGCCACAGGCGCCGAGCCATGTGATGGCTCTTTTTAAAGATTCCCTGAAGTTTATTAACGAGGAGTTTGTAATTATATAAAAGAGTAGCAAAGTCAGCAGCATCTCAGCATCATCAGGGTGGGTTGTTCATGTATCCCACTAGCACACATTGTGCATAGCGTTTTTTACTAATGATATGTAGAAATGTCTGTTGAATTCTTCAAGACAACTTGAAGAGTCATCCAGCTAACTCTGCGTGAAAGTGATTCTCAGCTTTTTAAGAATATGTATAACCTTATGGATACAAGTTCTTCACAAGTTGCATTGTTCCTCACTTTTTAAGATAGTGGGGTCTAGGAGGTTTTACAGGGTTAGCAGCTAAGTGGTGTGACTGTAATGTCGTGTGTATGAAGACAGTGACCAGTACCTTCTAAGAAAGGGCCTGGAACACATGTGAAATATAGAGGCCACTGGGCACATGTGACTCAGGCAGTTGAATTTTGAAGGGCTAAATATTTAATTTCATTTAATATTAATCTGAATATAAAACAATGTACAATATGTCGTTCGTTTTTTATGTTGAAATGATAATATTTTGGATATTTTTGATTAAGTAAAATAGTATGAATAACTTCACTTTTTTAAAACTTTTTATTTTAATGTAGCTACCAGAAAATTTTAAATTATTTTTGTACCTTGCATTTTATTTCTATTAGACAGTGCTGGGCTCATCTAGAAGGGTAAGGGACAGACTTATTCAGAAGGCAATTGCTGGGGTATGGTGTGTGTCCAGGGTTACAGACACGGGAACAGATGCTCTTCTCTGCAGCTCTGCCCCAACGCTGACCTGCCCACACAGGGGCACTGCTGTGATCATGCCTTGCTTTGAACTTTCTAAGGGCAGGTCTGTCCTTTTTTTTTTTTTTTTTTTCCTTCTTTAAGCATGCCATATTTCCCGTGGCTATAAAAGAGTGTATATTCTGTATAAGTCTGGAAAGAAGACAAGTTCCATTTATTTTCAAGGCTCTAGAATCTTGGACCACCAAGAATGGGAGAGAAAAAAATATATGATCAAGAGAGGGGTGGCTTTATGAGGGTCAAGAGAGGTATGAAAAGAGATACAGGGGGAATTCGTAGGTGGATACAAGTGATATTATTCTAGTACCTAGGTTGGGTGGTAGGTAAAAGAGTACCAATTTGTTACACTTAGTAACTTAAGTATCAAAAATCCTATGATTAAAATGAAAGGGTTGTGGTAAGAAGATTATCAGCCCTATTTATTTGTATTTGAATCCCTGTATTCAGTATGACTTAGCAAATGCCTATCATGCGCCTTATACATAGTAGACATTCGGTATATTTTTGTTGGGTTACATTAAACTGAAGAATGATTCTTATAAATTGTCATGGCACAGATGTTTCTTATTTCATTCCAGAAAACTATTAAGAAATTGTTTCTAGGATACAATGAAAAGAACAAGGGTGGAGGTTATCTATGGCTATCCCTGGTGGGGTCTAAGGCCAACTCTAAAGAGTAGAAGATGCTTAGACCAAGTGCAAATAGATCAAGCAAACTAGAATTTTGAACCAAAGGAGACAAAGGATAGTAATACCACTTGAAAGTTTAGGAAAAATATAATTCTTCTAAACACAAAATATCTCATTGTATAGGGACAATTATAGGGCTTTTCTTTTTTTTTTTTAAGATAGCAGGAGTACATCACGCAAAATAACACATAGAATTTTTTTTTCACATATAGAATTTTTAGTGTTATTCCTTTTTAATAAGAAATCAGTATTTTGGTTTTAAGTACAGTAAGAAAATAATTCAGGACACTAAGATTTAGGCCCCTAATTATACTTAGAGCTTATAAACAACTGTGGCATGACAGAGTTTTTCTATTTGCCAGCAGAATGTCAGTTCTACTCTTTGTTGGAATATATTTATTTTTTTTCTTTCTTAAACTCTTGAGAATAACTTGAGGGAAAATAACCTTTATTTGTGTTTATTCATAATGCAGACCATAGCAGAGTGTAGGCTGTCCATAAATGTTTGTCAAATCCAAGTGGAACAAGTCTTTCTAATGGTCCCTAATTCTGTTTTCAGGGACTTTCCTGGTGGAATAGGATCAAGACCAAGACCAGGTAACTTAGTGTGGGCAGCAATCAAATCAGACACACCTCCCTGAAATTCAGTGTAATTTATGTCACAGTTTCTTATCTTTCCCACTTTTATTTCTTCAGCTTTGCTGCCTCTTGACCTGCTTCTGAAAGTGCCACCCCTCATGCTCAGGGCCCACGTTAAGGAAGTAGAGACCGAGTTAGTGACAGGGTGGCAGTCCCACAGCCTTCCTGCTGTGATTCTTCGAAATCTCAAAGATCATGGTAGTACTTATAAGAGCACACTGATGTTAAGCACACAATGGGTGAACACAGAAGTATAGTGGTGCCTGAGATGTCCAAATGATGCTGGGGAGGTAATTTTAAGACAGAGAGCAAGAAAATTCTGTTTTGTTTGTCCATCATTATTAGTTTGGCAATTTGATGCTATCAAAATGCTTTCTGTGTTCACTTATAGATTGAAATATTATAGGCTGTTTTCTAAAATTTGCATCTTTGCCTTGGTGGGACTGTTAACTGGTTGTGCTGTTGATGCTTAAAGTACATACCTACTAACAAAATATAGCAGCTGTGTTTTACACGAGTATTTCTGTAAACTCTATACCTATATGATACATACTGAGGGAAGAGAGTGAATCATATATTTTTCTACCTCTTCTACTCTGACATAGATAATTATCTTTTAGTTGTTTCCATTTATATTTGATTAAGATATTATATCACATTGTTTCTCTGATGACTGAAATATTATGGATCCTTAAAGTTTATAATAATGGTTTGGGAAAGAAAAGAATGTGTTAAGGGCGGCACCTATGGCTCAAGGAGTGGGGCACCAGCCCCATATACCGGGGGAGGAGGCTTCAAGCCTGCCCTGGCCAAAAAAAGGCAAAAAGAAAGAAAAAAGAAAAGAATATGTTAATTTATTATTATTCTTATAATTTTTGTTTAAGAGGACCAAAGTCCGACAGTAATATTAAAATTATTTGCTAAATCTGGACAACTCAGAAAACAATTTAATTATACTTTTGTACTTAAAACGTGTGTGTACATGATTCTTGAACACAAGATTCCAATTTACTATATTGGTTAATTCGGAATTATTGTTTCATGCTGTTTTCAGTTTAGCTTCTTTAATTCACATTCTTTTGTAGATTTAAAGTGTATAGTGAACATAGGCAACATAAATTGATTTACTATAATAGTAGCCCATGTCTCCACATTTATTAAACGTGGTTTGAAAGAGTTATTGACAGTTTGGGGCCATTACAACATTAGTATAGATGCATAAAAACAGGGTTTTATTATTAGGGTATCCAAAACTATTATACTGACCATGCTCTGATCCTATGTTGGCAAAGGTAAGTTCATAGCATAATCATGAAATTAAAATGATGTTTGTTGGTTGATTTTATAGCATCAGGTTGGTACATACACATATTTATAACCAGTTCACAGTTTGTTGTAATCCATAATGGGAATTCTTCTTCCTAGTGAGTGTGTTGAGTTAGGTCAACGTAAGACCTCACTTTATGACAAGTGATATTAATCAGATCTCTGGATTTTTAAACTACATTATGGTACAATTTTCATAGATTATCTCCCTTATTCCTATAGTTTGTTATACCATCTAATTTTTTTTTTGAAAAATCTACTGATTTACATATTTTAAAAATTGAATCAGAATACACTAAACATTTTAAGTGTTGAACACTAAATTTCATCCACAAAAAGAGTGGATCTTATTTACTAATATTGTAGAACACATTCATGTACAAGAGAAAATTTGGGTTGGTGCTTGTGAGTTATTCTACTTCAGAGTCAAGAAATTAGAACTTTATTTTTCTCCCTTGTAATACAACATGGTTTTTCTGTAGACTATACAGTCATACTTTTTAAAGGTTTGCAGGTAAAGGTGGACTGTGGGTCATTTTATCAAAATACGAATGATTGGCACCAGCCCTGTTCACTTAGGTCACCTCATCTGCAGGTCATGCTCCACGCCAGTGCTTCCCTTCAGACCTCCAGCTTTCCTAACATTTGACTTAGCTTTCTTGGATGGAAAGGAAAATGTTAGAAATTATGTCTAACCAGCATCTGCAGCCAGGTATGGCTAAATGCTTGGGAAAAAAATTAGTAGATTGCATTTCCCTGCCAACTGAAAAGAAAATTCAAGAATTCCTGTCTTACATAGATAAAATGGTTACATTAGTTAACATGGAATCCATAAATAAGCGTTTTTGCCATATTAATTATTTCAGCTCTATTTTCCCAACTTTAGTCACTTGTACATTGTTAGTGCACAAATTTGGCTATATCTGAGAACCATATGAATTATTATTTTCTTAATTTTTTTAAAAATTGACTCACTTCTCAATTTAAATACTTTTACAAGTGAAGTTTATGCTATTTCTGTAAATGGGAAACCAATATAGTGTAACTTGCTGTGAATAGACAGCAGTTATAAAATAAATACAAATCTAAGGAAGACAGCATTAAATTTTAAGTATTGTTGTCTGCATATCCTGAAGCCTGGTGTCTTTGTTATGAAAGAGAATTCGATGATATTTGAGAAATGGTGACAACATACTTGTATGCTGAAAGTAAATCCTTGATGTGATCGCAAAAAAGAAAAGAAAATTGCAAATGGAATACCTTTCCCACTAGGCTGTTCATCCCTGGTCTACTTAGATAAAATTGGGCTGTATAGATGCTTATGCCTTAGAAAATTCAGTTATTTAAAAATAATAGATTGATTCAACTGACTGTCTACAGCAGCATTTTTCCACCTTTTTTTTTTTTTATCTCACGGCATCCTTGAACCTATAGTTAAACTTCCATGGCATACTTAAATTGTGTTGATCAAAAAAAAAAAAAAAGTAAAAAAAAAGAATATACTTATTGTACTTTGAACTTCTTTCAAAAATAATTTAATTAATAACTTTAAATATTTTCATGGGACACCTAAATCCTCTTAAGGCACACCAGTGTATCATAGCACACCAGGTGAAAATCACTGGTCCATAGAGTCAATCAAATGACTGGAGATGACCAAGTATTTTGAATGAGGAAAAAAGTCTGGGGTCTGTCCTATGTGTATATATATATTTAAAAAAAGAAGTAATCTTTTCCACTAAAGGTAAAGAAAACAATATATATTTATGAAAATTAAATCATACAAAAATGTAATTCAGGAAATGTATTCTTTGCCAAATATATTCATACTGTAATGTTATGAATGCTACTAGTGTGTTTCAAATGTAAATTTGGGGGAGGTGTGGGTCAAACCTAAATTTTAAAGCACAAATGCAATGTCAAGTCAGAATATGGTGTAATTTGACTGGATTAACACCAACATTTTTCCCTCCCTTGCTCAGTTTTTCATTTAGACAGCACCTAACACCCAGGCGCTGAACTGATACATGGAGATTTTTACGCTCTACATTTTGAGCAGAATTTGTCATTTCCTGATTTCTAGGCTATTATGTTTTCTTATTAGATGACTATGAATATATTTCTACACTTGCCTTTTAGTCTTAAAGGTTAGATCTAAATTAAGTAATGTTTCATCAAAATATTCTAGAGAGCACAACTAATATTCTAGTTGTCCTCATATGAGAGCAAGTTTTAGTAGCTTATTTTCAAGCTAGTTATTGACATAAGTACTTAAAATTAACTTTTATATTTGCTGAAGTGATTTTGAGTGTATACCTTCTTTTTTATTGCATAGCATTTTTTATCATATAAAAATTTACTCAACAGTTTTCATCAAAACATCTATGCTACTCTATACAATGTAATTTGACATGTAATGAATATATTCCTATATTGTTTGTTGGAATTTAGTGTATATTAGTTATATTTCCCAACTATCTTGTAAGCGTTTTCAGTAAAACTTTTATATATATACAGGCATACCTTGGAGATATTGTGGGTTTGGTTCCAGACTACACCAATAAAGAGACTATCACAATTAAGCAAGTCACATAATTTTTTGGTTTTTAAGTTTTTCAGTATAAACAAAAGTTATGTTTATGCTATACTGTACTCTATTAAGTGTACAATAACATTATGTCTAAAAAACAGTGCATACTATACACTTTAATTAAAAATACTTTGTTGCTAAAAAGTGCTAATGATTGGGTCTTCAGCGAGTCCCTGTCTTTTTTGATGGTGGAGGTTCTTGTCCTGTTGTTCCTGACTGCTGACTGATCAGAATGGTGGTTGCTGAAGGTTGGGGGTTGGGGTATGGTAATTTTGTAAAATAAGACAACAGTGAATTTTACTGCATTGATTGACTCTTCCTTTCACAAAATATATTTTTTTTTTTTGCAGCATATAATGCTATTTTATGATAGCATTTTAATCACAGTTGAACTTCTTTCAAAACTGGAGTTGATCCTTTCAAATCATGCTGCTGCTTTATCAACTAAATTTATGGGACATTCTAAATCCTTTGTTGTCATTTCAACAATGTTCACAACATCTTCACTAGGAAGTTCCATCTGAAGGAACCATTTTCTTTACTTATCCATAAGAAGCAAGTCCTCATCTATTCACATTTGATCATGAACTTGTAGCAATTCAGTCACATCTTCTTCAGGTTCCACTTCAAATTCTAGTTCTTGTGCTATTTTGACCATATCTGCAGTCACTTTTTTTCAGTTTCTTCCAAACTCCTGTTGATGTTGATATGTTGACCTCCTCCCATGAATTGTGAATGTTCTTAATGGCATCTAGAATGATGCGTCCTTACCAGAAGGTTTTCAGTTGACTGCCCAGATCCAGCAGAGGAATCCCTGTCTGTGGCATCTGTAGTCTTTACAAAATGTATTTCTTAAATAATAAGACTTGAGAGTCAAAATGACTCCCTGAGCCATGGGCTACAGAATGGATGTAATGTTAGTAGGCATCAAAACAATATTAATCTCCTTATCTATCTCCATTAGAGGTTGTTGGTAACCAAGTGTATTGTCAAGGAACAGTGATATAGTGAAAGGTGAAAGGAATCTTTTTTTTTTTTTTTCTGAGCAGTAAGTCTCAACACTGGGCTTAAAATAGTCAGTAATCTTTAATATATTACTGACTATTTTAAATATTCAAAATATTAAAAAAATTTTTAAATTTTAAAATATTCAGTAAACTGAGGTGCTGTCATCTAGGTTCTATTGTTTCATTTCCAGAGCACAGACAGAATAGATTTAGCATAATTCTTAAGGGCTCTAAGGTTTTTGAGATGGTAAAGAGGATTGGACTCAACTTAAATT